TTAAGTTACATATATATTCAACAAAATTATATAATATTTATACTTTTTAGTGTTTTCTTTCTTTTTTAAAATTTTATTGCAAAGATATGGTACAGAGGGGTTATAGTTACGTGCGTAAGGCACTGAGTACATTTCTTGTCGAGCATTGTTCTCCTTCCCTTGTTCTCTTACTGTTCCTTCCCTCCCCCACCTCTCTCTTTCCTCCCCCCTCCACAAGTTGTAAAGTTCATTTCCAATATATTGTCTTGTGGGTATCATTGTTGCAATGGGTCATCCTGTGTCCTTGTTTCAGCGTTTTGTTATTCTTTAATATTTACGGCTGCATGCTCATTGTAAAAATCTGAACAAAATAATACAAAGTAAAACTTCTAGTTTTCTCAAGCATTTTTTTGCCTTTTCTTCTTGTCAGTTCTTTCTCCTCCCCAAGGCCAATTGCTATTTGGTGTTTTTCTCTCCAGACGTTTCTCTAATACAACCAGATAGTATATGTAAGCATGCATAGTTTTTTTTTTTAAACTCTTTTTTTTAAGTAGATTTTAACTAAAATAATATTCATCAGAAAATGCCTAAATTTAGATCTTGTTTATGTTTTTAGAATTCAAGATGTAAGCATGCAGTTAAAAAATCAACAAAGTGAATTTCAGAGAGTACAGAAAGAATTTAGTCATTTGGAATGTGAGTTAAAGACTAAACAAAGACAATCACAATTCTTCAGGTAAGATTGCTTTTAAAGAATTGAAAATGATAAAGACTGAAAACGTAAGTTTAATGCTAGCTTTTTAAACATTCACACACACTTTAGTAATGTGATTTCTATGTAATCTAGTATGATTAACACAATAGAAATAGTTTCAGTCTTCAATTTCTTGGTATATTGACCTCCAGAGCCATCACCCAGTGATGAAAAGTTGTTTGTTTGTTTGTTTGTTTTGGTCAGTCGTGGGGCTTGAACTCTGGACCTGAGCGCTGTCCCTCAGCTCTTCAGCTCAAGGCTAGCGCTCTACCACTTGAGCCACAGCGCCACTTCCGGTTTTCTGGTGGTTTATTGGAGATAAGAGTCTCATGGAGTTTCCTGCCCGGGCTGGCTTTGAACCGCGATCCTCAGATCTCAGCCTTCTGAGTAGCTAGGATGACAGGCGTGAGCCAATGGTGCCCGGCTCTTGATGAAAGTTTTCTAATGACAATGACAGACTCCCTAAATGTCGACATATCCAACATAAGTGGTGCTACTCTGCTCTCGTGTATGTTACTCAGTGCTTTTATGAGACTAGAAACTAGTTCATTTACCCCTAAAATGGTGTTGAATATATCTAGTATATTTTTGAGGAGCATGGTTCCTTTGCACTTGAGTAACTTTTAGCTCCTAAAAAAAGGGAATGTTAAACCAATATAGTAAAACAATTTAATAGCTGGGTGAGTATTCTGAATGTTTGTTTTTGTTTTCAGCCTCCCGATTATTACCAGAAACATTTTTAAAAACATTCTCTGGGCTAATTATTTTTTAATGTATTATTCAATGATGACCTACTGAACACCTGCACTTCATAAAGGCCTTGCATGTAACTGAAACTCAATAAATAAATGAATGAGTAAATGAGTTAATAGTCTGTTCGCAATACAAATAGCCTTATTTTGGTGGTACTAAGGTTTGAACTCAGATCCTGGGCTTGCTAGGCAGGTACTCTCACCACTTGTACTGTATCTCAGCCATTTTACTTGAGTTATTTTTCAGGTAAAGTCTCACATGTTTGGTGAGGGCTGGTCGTATTGCTTACCTGTGTCTCCCATGTAGCAGGACTGCTGGTACATCTCACCACACCTAGCTTCTTCATTGAAGTAGGGTCTTTTTGCCTTTTGATTTCCTCTTCCCAGGTAGCTGGGATTACAAGGGCATACCATCGCAGTTGGCCAGATGTCTGCTCTTGTTCTTTGGTCCTTTCTCAGAAATCGGTAGGATAGTAGCACCTTGGTGGCCTCAGCTCTCCTATTTTAATCAGGATCATCAGTTTTTTGTTTTTTGGCGTGTTTTTTTTTCTTTGACAATTAAGTTTCCAACACATGGATTCTGCAAACACTGAAACCATAGCAACTCTCATGAATGGGTGAAGGTCAATATTGTGGGAGAGGCTTTGTTATAAAAACAAGCTTTCTTTAATACTTAGATTCTGCAGTAGTTTTGGCCTAACACTACTAAGGAAATCCCAGCTGTTTGCTTACTAATGCCACTGCAGATGGTAGAATTGACTAGATTTCAAGTATGTGGAGTGTTTCATGTAATTACAGTTGCTGTAAGATGTTATAAAACTGATACCGTTCATCCTGTCATTCAGTTTTGCATGTCAGTTGTCATAAAATATCTAAAATTTGCTTTTATATTTTAGTTTTGTCACTATTTTGGGTTGTGCTTGGGATTGAGCCCAGGGCCTTATACATGCTAGCTAACCATGCTAGCATAGGAAAAGGTACACTGGTTAAAAAAAAAAAGTCCTGGATAAAAGTCTTCTATATAAGTGTGATTGCAGTTGCTTTTTGCAGTCTGTGGCTTTCTTTCATTTTCTCAGTGGTATTTTCTTATTAGCATATGTCATGTATGTACAAGAGGTGTGGGTAATTTTAACATTTCCGTACATGTAGACAATGTACCCCTCCCTGTCTCACTCTCCCTGACCCGCTCCCCTCTTTTTTTGGGGGGGGGTCTGGTCGTGGGGCCTGCACGCTGGGCCTGGGTGCTGTCCCTCAGCTCTTCAGCTCAAGGCTAGCGCTCTACCACTTGAGCCACAGCGCCACTTCCGGCTTTTTTCTTTTTGCTTATGTGGTGCTGAGGAATCAAACCCAGGGCCTCATGCATGCAAGGCAAGCGCTCTACCACTGAGCCACCTTCCCAGTCCCACCCCCCACCCTGCTCCCTTCTTTTTAAAATAATTTCAGTTTTAAAATAATTTCATTGTTCTTTTTTTATGAATGCAAACTATTTCCACTATATTTATGAAATATAGTTAATCTGTTTTCTCTTATGGATTGTGCATATATTTAAGATATATTTAAGTGATATATTTAAGAATGGACCAAGCCAAAATCATAATGATTTCTTTCCTATAGTTTCTTCAGAAAGTTTTGTTGTGATCCATTGGAGTTAATTTTTGTGTATGAGTATGGTAAGAATCTAAATCCGTCTTATTTTGTGAGGATATTGGATGTTGCAGCATGCTGAGAGGACTCTGCTTTCCCCGCTGACGGTCTGTTCTCCTGAGTAGTGTAGGTTTTTGTAAAATTTAAAATCCAAGAATGTAACCTTCCAGCTTTCTTCTTGATTTTTAAGATTGTTTGGGCATTATGGACCCCTTGAATTCCTGTAAGCATTTTAGAGTCAGCTTGTCAAAACTGCTAGGCACACTGCTGAGATTTTAATATAATGTAGAATCTATAATCAACTTGGGATGCTAACAATGCATGGAACCTTTTAATCTGTGAACATAATATATTTTTCTATGGAGATAGTTAATTTGCTTAAAAATATTTTGGGTTTTTTTCACTTCTTTATTAAATTTGTTTCTAAGTGTTCTATTCTTTTTATGTTATTATGAATGGCAGTTTTCCTAATCTTATATTGGGAATTGGTTATTGGTAATATTCAGAAATAAAATTTTTCTGTGTATGGCTCTTACACCCTGCTATTTTGATGAACTTACTAGTTTTTGTGTGTGTTGGTTAGCTTTTCTACATTGTATAGGCTTATAGACAACAGAGTTTTCTAGTGTTCCAAGTCCTTTTACCTCTTGTCATATGATTGTATTTACACTTAAAACCATCAGTTCTTACACCTACTTCCAGGTTGTTAATCTAGGGCTCTTTGAGCCAGGATCACCAGCCTTGTTCATCTCTTCACAGCTGGTGATTTGCCTCATATTCCACAAAGGTCAGTTAACAATTCAGACTGATTTACTGTGAATGGAATAGCGCCAAGTTTCAGAATCTCTCCTCAAGTCTTCCTGCAAAGTTTTGGACAGGCCCCTGGTGAAAGGAGGTGGTTTATTCCTACTTGTTTAAAAATCATCTTTCCAAGTTGGGTACCAGTGACTCATGCCTGTAATCCTAGTTACTCAGGAGACTGAGATCTGAGGATCGTGTTTCAAAGCCAGCCCGGGCAAGAAAGTCCCTGAGACTCTTATCTCCAGTTAACCACCAGAAAACCAGAGTAGTCCTGTGGCTCAAGTGGTAGAGTGCTAATCTTGAGCTGAAGAGCTCAGGGACAGCTCCCCCACCCAGAGTTCAAGCCCCACAACCAACAAAAACAACAACAACAAAAAAAACCAAAAAACATCTTTCCAGTCTACTTTCCCCTCTGTTCCACTTCAAGATCAGTGGGGGAGTTAGAGGCCTGGGAGAGTCTTAGTAAGGCAAAGTTGACTTGGGAATACACCGCTCAGTTGCCCTTTGAAAACAAAATTTAGAATAGCTTCTGTAAAAAGCAAAGGAATCAGATTAAACATTCAGGTGTATACAGGCTTGAACTCCGGGACTGGGCACTGTCCCTGAGCTTTTTTTGCTCAAAGTTAACACTCTGCCTACAACTTGGGCCACAACTCCACTTCTGGCTTTTATTTTTGGTGATTAATTTGGAGATAAGAGAGTCACAGACTTTCCTGTCCAAGCTACTATGAGCCATGATCATCAGATCTCAGCCTCCATATTAGCTAGGTTTACAGGAGTGTACCATCAGCACCCTGCAAATTTTTTAAATTAATGAAACAAAAGCAAACTATTTCAAGGGGCTGGGAAGGTGGCTCAGTGGTAGAGCACTTGCCTTGCATGCCTGAGGCCCTGGGTTCGATTCCTCAGCACCACATAAGCAAAAAGAAAAAAGCCGGAAGTGGCACTATGGCTCAAGTGGTAGAGCGCTAGCCTTGAGCTGAAGAGCTGAGGGACAGCGCCCAGGCCCACAGTTCAGGCCCCATGACCGGACCCCCCCCCCAAAAAAAAGCAAACTATTTCAAAATGAAAGAAACACTGCTCACTTCAGTATACTAAAATTGGAACGATACAGAGAAAATTAGCAGGGTCCCTGTTCAAGGATGACACACAAATTTGTGAAGCAGTCCATATTTTAAAGGTTGATAGATAAAAAATATAAAGCAAATTATAACAATATTTTTTGAATTACATCAGAGCAAATTCACTAACAAAATTTTTGTTTATTCAGTTTTTAATCCATTTTTACTTGAATATATTTGTTTATACCAAGGGGTTTTTGTTGTGACATTTCTGTGTATTCAAACAATGTAAGAGCTGGGTGCTGGTGGCTCATGCCTATAATCTTAGCTACTCAGGAGGCTGAGATCTGAGGATTGAGGTTCAAAGCCAGCCCAGGCAGAAAAGTCCCTCTGAGACTCTTATCTCCAGTAAACTACTCAAGCCGGAAGTGGTGATGGGGCTTAAATGGTAGAGCACTAACCTTGAACACAAACAGGCTAAGAGTCAGCACCCAGGCCCTGAGTTCAGGCCCTAGCACAGGTAAAACAAACATACAAACACAATAAAGATCTTAAAGTATTTGATAATCCAATGAAGATGAGTTAATTATTCAAATACATTGGAGAAATATCTATTTCCTAATTTTACAAAAAACAATAACACCATTGAATATAAAAATTACAAAATACTACTTCAAGGGTGATACTTAAACGTGTCCATTTGTTTCAGATTTAAAATAAAGTTTAAAATTGGTCATTTTCAATGGACACAAGAAGTTTTTTTCTTTGTTGCTGTTGTTTTTTTAATGTACTATGTGATTTTTTTTGTTTCTTTTGTATATTCTTCCCCCCTGTGGTATAACCCCTGTTGTCACTGTATTTGGTTCTGGTGCCCTGCATCTTGTATATACATATTTTTTAATTTCAGGAGGGGAAGGGAAATAAAATGCTGAAATAAGGATACAGGTTGACCCATTGTAACAATAAGATGTACAAGATACTATGTTGAAAATGAACTTTACAATTTGGTAGGGGGGAGAGGGAGGAGTTGGGGTAGTGGGGAGGGAAGGGATAGTAGGGGAAAACAAAGGAGAGGGTAACAATGCTCGGTAGGAAATGTACTCATTACCTTACTCATGTAACTGTAACCGCTTGTACAGTATCTTTACAATAAAAATTTTTTTAAAATTGGTCACTTTCTAAGAAAACTTGAAATCCCCAAAACCTTATAGTCATGCATAGATATTGATAAGGATTTTTCTAGATCTGACAATGCTGAATATTTATACTACCTACTAAGTTTTTTTTTTTTTTCTTTTGTTACCCCCTCCATTGTTTTCCCCCTACCATCCCCTCCTACTAAGTTTTAAAAGACCTTTCTAAGCTATTAATTTTTTTAAAGTCTCTTGCCATGGGCTGGGAATGTGGCTTAGTGGTAGAGTGCTTGCCTAGCTTACATGAAGCCCTGGGTTCAATTCTTCAGTACCATATACACAGAAAAGGCCTGAAGTGGCTCTGTGGCTCAAGTGGTAGAGTGCTAGCCTTGAGTAAAAGAAGCTCTGGGATAGTGCCCAGGCTCTGAGTTCAAGCCCCAGGACTGGCAAAAAAAAAGTCTCTTGCTATGTTAAACTCAAAGGCTGTATAATCAGTCATCTACACAAACAGCAGAATTACAGTAGCTAAAAATTATATGCAAAAATGTATTGTAGAGCTGCTTGAAGAGCCACACCATTTTCCTATATTCTATGGTTCTAGAGAATTTTATTAACTTGCCAATTTTTAAATGTAGTGAGTTTTCTCATTCTATCAGTAAATATATACTTTTAACCTATTTTATAGTTATTACTTTTGTGCTCTTTTTTTCCTCTTCAAGAAGTTGAATTGAGTCATCACAAAAAGTGGGTCCACTCCCAGCGCATAAAGCTTGAGTTTTCTGTCTGTTGCCTTTCTCCCTACAGAAGCATCCATACCCACATTTGCATTTTCCTTTCTGTCAAACATTCTCTAGGCCCTGACTTCCAGGTCTGCAGCGGAATCTCAGCAGCTGCGCCCCAGATACTTTGACTCCACATCCTGGTTTCTCATTCTCACACCTGTGTCATCCTCCTCCTCTGTTTTCTGTAATCAGCATCCTCTTAGCTGTGTTTGTGGATTTAATCACCCCCTCAGGTCTGCTCACTGGGGAGACCCTGCTGGCCACACAGAATCACAACCACAGTCTTTTTGGAAAATAGAGCTCTTTTAGCCTTTGTGTATATCTGTCCTTTCTAGGACTTTGCTCAAGAAATGCTCCCCTCTCTCCTGTATTTCCGGCCTGTGTTCACTCACATAGTACACTCAGCTATGCACACTTCCAGTAATTCCCACCCTGTTCAGCCTTCTTACTTCCCCTTCTGTCCATGGTTTTAATAGTTGGTAGCACAGACCTCTGTTGTCTCATACCTGCTTTCCCACCTAATGCTTCTCCGAGGTCTCTAAGGTCTCCTTCACGCCAGCTACAATGGCCTCTTCAGCCTTTGTCTGAAGCCTTCAACCCTGCCTTCTATTTTCTGCTTGAAGACCACTGTTTTTTCCTGATATTATTCCTTTGGCTTTTCTTCTAACTCACTGGAAACAGTTCCTTCTTGGGTTTCCTTTTTGTTTTTTCCAGTGTGTGATCCTTAACTCTTTTCACTTCCCCATTCCTCCAGCTGAGAAATGAAGTTTATTTGTCATTTAAGTTTCTGTTGATCACAGACTGGTAGATACTAAGGAGATTATAAGGCACAAGAAAGATGTTTCTACCTAATAGATCTTTGTTTCTTCAGAGACATAAATATTGACCAAGCACTCCTCTGGTTGTAGGTATCATCTTTTTGCTGAGAACACCTATGTCTGTATCTTGTTTAATGATTAAGGAAACGATAACCAGGATATCTGAAGTAATAAAATAAGATGATATAAAAATAAGTTTATTTTGAACTCTGAGGTATTTGATGAAGCAAAAGTACTAGCTCAGGTACTTTAAAAAGTATATTACTCCAGGTGTTACACTGCCTGGGTAACCATGGTACGTAGAAGAATGCTGTAAGATTCTCATTTACTCTCTGACCAAGTTTTCTAAGTTTGGTCTAAATTTTCTAAATTTTGCTCTAACCAAATTTTCTTCTTTATTTGGTGAATATAAAAAATAGGATAAATGTAAATGAAGATAATTATCTTTTTGTAATTAAAATAGTAGCAAAATGGAACTGAGTTGATATGCTTATACATGAAACGAACTGAGATATTTCTGATTTATGCCTGTTGTCTTAACATAGTATGAACAACACTTTTCCTTTTCAAATTTGTCTTCATTTAGACAGTAGATTGTATGATTATTCTAAAATCATTTTGGATAAATGTGTCCTTTGTTTACTTTATTTTAAAAATTCTAATTTTTCATTACAGTCAAAAATTGTTGGAGTACAAATACTTCTGGAATAAGACTCTTTCATTACTTACTGTTACCAAAAGAGAACTAAACAGTATTAAAAATGAAATATATGATAATTTTCAAATCTGGACTTTATTGAAAGGAGAAGTTTCTCTACAAATTAAATCCATTAGTGAAGCAGCTCTAGCAGGTTTGTGATATACATTTAGAATGTAATTGTACTTTTTTGTAAAAATATTTTAAGTAAATAAATAATACCTCATTGTATTTGGTGGGGCTTGGAACTCACTTTCTAAACCTATTTGTGATTGGCATAGTAGATGAACATTATTATCGATCTACCCTGAACTGTAGTATTTTAGGTTGCTCTAAGATAAGTCATGATATGTCTATCTTGAGCTATGGTCAGAAGTCTGATTATTCTGTTAAAGGAACCAATTTGTACTTTTTAAAATGTTTTTCTCTTAATGACTGAGTAGTCATATTAGATCAGCCTCTAACATAATCACTGTAATTATAGACAAAAATAACTATCTGAAAACATTGGCAAATAACAGAATCAAACACACTGAGGAGGGAATGTCAAAAATTGAAACAAGTTTTATTACTAAGTGAAAGATGACATCTGAAAAGGTTACAAGCTCTGTTGTTATGGCTACACAACCTTCTGGAAAAGGCAAAGCCTGGGGTCAGTAAACAGGTCAGTGGTTGTCAGAGGTCCAAGACGGTACAGTGGTGCACACGTTATAATGCATTTGTCAGAACTCACAACAGCAAAAGTGAGCTTGAAACTGTGAATTCTGGCTGATAGTAATAATGTGTTAAATAGGAAACATCATTGTAGTGCAGGTTGTGGGTTTATATGTGCATGTGTGTATATGTGTGTACATGTGTGTGAGGACAAAAAGTACACTTTTACCGTGACCAAAAACTCTAAATATTCTAACTGCTTTAGATACTGAAAGAAGGAGAAGGGATTTTTTAAAGACTATTGGATTGAGAGCAGGTTGCAATTCACTCCATGCATGGAAACAAAAACATCTGGTAGAAATATGTATTCTTTTAGACCTGAGGACTAAAGGACAGAGACAGGGCAGTCAGGACATGGGGGAATATCCTGGAGAAAAGATCCTCAGAGAGCCAGAGCTTAAGTTTTGTATTTAATTCTAATGTCTGGCTTCTCCCTAAAGTACCTGTATATAAAAGGAAGAGTTTATACAACTCACGGAGAACTAAAATACTTGATATTTTAGCAGATACTTCTCTTGGGGCAGACACATCATGCAGTTTGAATTAAGCCCTACGAAGTACTTAGTAAACAAGATAAAAAAAAATTCAACATTTCTTTGAAGCAATGTAACAGTACTTAGTCTCTATAACCTAATGGCTGTGTCTCTGTAACCTAATGTAATAGTACCTAGTCTCTATAACCTAATGGCTTTACAGAAGAAATAGAAAAGTATGGCTCATCCCTGGAAAGGATAGCCAGCCAGCAGAGACCAATTTCTGATTGTCCTGTATGAGTCAGAAGCTCAGAGGTAGAAATGCATACACATGGATCATGTGTTTAGCTCACCAACAAGAGCTTAGAGGACAGGACAGATGGGTGTGTGGGCTTGAAGTTTTATTATTTTCAGAGTGTTTTTCTCCTTAATGCTGTGAACACAATCAGAGCCCCAGGGGGCGGTATACAAAAGTATAAGTAGATGCAAAACTTGACAG